CCTGTCTACAGCGAGAGCCAGGGTACACCCTGTACAGGTCGCCGGTCCATCACGGCTTCAATGTCATGATTAATACATGTATTAGAATCCTTTACTATAATTACCTTGTCCATATTTAACACTGAATTATGAAGGAAATTTGAAAAAAAATTTAAAAACAGAATAAAAATCCTTTAAAAATTGGGAGCAAGGGTGGTTATATGACACCAAGTCCCAGTCTTAACATAAGACTTCATGGATTTTAAAGTAGAAAATATGACTACAAGAATATAAATGTAAAAAGAGATTACCACTTTGCTGTTGCATTTGTAAATAAAAAAGGTTGAATAACACATTTGATTTACTGTCATTTCTCACTTCAGAATTATTTAGTATCTTTCAAAATCTTACATTTGAAATAGAAATGCTAAAGGGATATAAACACTGTTTTGCAAATACACTTTAGACAAGACTTTATGAACTGCAGCCATATTATTACTCCTTGTCAAGTGTGATGATTTTTATTCTTTTTTTGTGTGAAAGCAATCTGCTAGAAGTAGAAATCTCCCTGTTCTGAGGAAAGTAGGCCATTTGTGCTAATGACTGACAGTGGTTTTCTGTGACACTTCATGTCTATCACATACTCAGTGGTTTATTTCTGGATCTTTAGTTTATCATATATTCACTGTGACTTTTTAAACTGAAAAATTTAAAATTAGTTTTCTTATGTGAGACAAACTTTATTGCGTCTTTGGCTTACAAACAGAGATTAACATCTGTCTTCTGTCTACAGCATTGGGGGACAGTTATGTAAGTCGATGCTTGCACTCTCACCACGCTGATTGGTGCAGCGTTATGAAATGTGACACAAGTTATTTAGTTGTCACCTTAATTATTTATATACACCTCTTTTGGATGTGAAAATTGGGTTGTTGTGCTCTGCTATGCAATAAATCCTCCATTCTCTCAGTGTAAAAGTGAATGTTAAGAGAGTGTCCTATGTGAATATGAAAGCAGCAGATTTAGAAAGCCGTGTATTTCTATTATTTATCATTTTACTGTTTTAAGGACCCTTTGTATATTTCATGATGTTATACATTGTCTGCGTTGTCTTTTCAAACAACTGTATTCTTTTAAGAGGTTTCACCCATTGTATATACTGTATAATCCTATCTTTTTGATTTTTGTTTTGCCTTTAAAGGTTTTATAATAATGTCTGGAGATTTGCAATTTTTGCATGCAGAAAGATCCTTTTCTCAAAACAAATTGGTGTGCTTATTTGCTCCTCTCTTTCTGTCTGTTTGTTCTCGCCAAATTACGTGGCAGCCTTTTACACCAGTGTAACACAGAGAGCCTGTGTGAAATTTATTGGCAAGGAGTTGCTGCCATTTGACACACAAGATGCAGCTAAAAGATCTCTTGCCATTTCACATCCCCTCCAGCTCCTGTCTAATGCTGACCTTTTCCTGCCTCCGGGTGTATATTTAAACTGTGAGAACTGGAGACTTATGGCGCCATGGGAAATTTTTATTAGCAATGTTCTCCATTTGTCTGGCTTAATTCAGAGCTGCTGTGGATCGTGCAGAATCGTGCTGTATTTTTACGGTCCTCTAGAGCAAACAAGGGCGCCGGTGACAAACCTACCCGTCAACACCTTAGTAGGGGGTGATGTGTAGTGAAACGTTTCTTTAAACTGTCCTGAGGAAAGACCCAAGACGTTAAACTGCAACTTATTTTTGCAGCTCCTAAGACCTGACATAAAATAGATATAAAAAAGGTCATAGATCAGGCTGAACTGTTGCTGATATGAACTGTATTCTTTTTTATTTTTGGATTGATCATCGTTAGATCAGACAAGAATGAGGAGTTCATAGAACACGAGGGTGCATTTAAGAAAGCATGTAAACCCATTTCCCTTTTTCACATTTGATTACAATGCATCCACAATCTAAAATATGTTTCACAGAGATTTGATGATACAGCCTATTGCAAACTAGTGCTACCTGTGAAGCAAGGAAGGAAACTGATTTGTTTTTTTATTATCTTTTATAGAAAAAATAAATCTTAATAGTGTGGCTTGGTTACCCATTCAACCAATATGGTTCTAAAGACTCTAAATAATTGGCATCAAAAGCCACCCATCATCAGAGAATAAAGAGAAACTGAAATCTGTAAAAGGACACCATTAAAGAAACAATTAAGCAAAGCGAGCCTACATTAGATATGCTGCTGAGATCCACTGGGAAGAATTTACTTAGTACCCATAAGCATACGGAGGACATAAAAAATGAGGAAGGAGGTGGTCTGATTAGAGGATACTAAATTAAAAAATTTGCAATGCATAAGAAATACTACTGTATGCTAGTAATATTAGTAATTTTGTGGTTGGGGAAGTGTTGATCTAGTGGTTAAAGCAGTGTGCGTCTGCTCTATGAAGGTTGCAAGTACCCGGTTTAATCCCCACAGCCTGCACTCTGGGTCTCAGAGCAATACCATTAACCCTACACTGCTACCCGAGTGCCGCACAGTGGCAGCCCACTGCTCCCCAAGGGGAACGGTCAAAAGCAGAGGTGAATTTTTCCAGTGGGAGATTAATAAAGTTCAATTATATTTATCTTATCCACTAAGAATCGAACAATATCTCCACTGAGACAGATGGTGGTGGTAGCATCGTGCTTTTGGCGATAGTTGTCTGCAGGAACAATGAAGCTGCTTAGAATACAATAAAAGACAAACAGAATAGAGGTCAATAATGAATTACTACTTGGAAAGAAACTATGCCAAAAATGATGTGAGACTAGGCTTGAGATACACTAGTCTGCCAACAACACTAAATATACAGCCAGTGGAACTATGAAATGGTTTGCATCATAGCATGCTCATTGCTATTATGGCCTAGTCCATGTCGATAACTAAATCCGTTGGAGATTCTCTGCCAGGGCTTAAGAGGTCCTGGTTCACAGACACCCTCATACATTGTGACAGAATTTGAATAGTTTTACAACTTATTGACTCTTGAAGTTGGACCTAAATTAATACAGGCAAAAGGAGAAGCACCAGGATTTGGAGGAGATGGATAGTGAAATCATGTTTACTCTGTGATTTGTTGCAAAAATTGTAGTGCAAAAAATTCACACAAAAGGTTTGTAGGATGCAATCATGCAACAGGAAGCCTCCCCTACAGTATCTGCTTGACAAGCTACAAACAACAGCTACAGATGGCTCTCTTTGCCAACGTCCCGAAACTCAACACAGGGCAGTTGTAAATAATCGCTCTTATGTGACTTGTCTCCAAGAAATAGAATTAGTTATGAAATAGGAAAGTTTTTTGACATTTTCAAGGATGAAGTGTCAGAAGACCTGAGTAGAATTGATTGAAATCATGTGATATAGGAAAGTTGCAGACTGTAGTGTATGTCGACCTCACCTCTAATAATAATAATTGAACTTATTGAAAAACTTACCACTGTATTTAAACCATACCCTTGGGGAGCAGTGGGCTGCCATTTTGTGACGTGGGGAACAGTGTGGGGTTAAGGGTCTTTCTCAGAGACCCAGAGTTGCAGTCTGTGTTAGTGGGGTCAAACGCAGAAACTCAGGACTCCAGGCCCTATGCCCTAACCACTAGGCTGCCACTCCCCACATCTAACCTCACTGATTTGTTTTGGGACGAGCAAGAGCTACAAAAATGTAACATTTTGTAAGTTTCTTTGGTCACATAATACCATGGCATGTGAAGGCCCACATATTTCAGCTCAAATTGTAGATGCATGAGTTTTGCCTTTGGCTTGGCTGGAGGAAGGTAAGCAATCGATCCCTCTTTGACAAGTTCCATAGGAAATGAATAGAGAAGGAGCAACCTTGCCTGCTCAGGTTCTGTAATGTACTAGATCGACTTTAACCATTCTGCTGTCTGACAGCCAGCGGCTCATCTATCAAAGATAGATTTCATCCAGATTTCTGACCAACGTCGGTGAGAGCTATACGCAGGTGGGAATTATTGTATGGACTAGAATGGTTTCCATTTGTAATGGAGATAATAACAGAGCAGAGTCTCTGCAAATGAGGAGTCAGGTAGGCATGAGGTAAATCAGGCACTGGCATAGAAAGCTATAAAATTCTGCATTAAGTAAAATATGAATTGTCAAGCTTCGTAAATGTAATAATTAAACTGCATTAAATATGCGCTTAAATGCACTCTTTTATGTGATCGTCCCTTCACTTTGGAGCAGCAGGACGCTTCCTGTCAGCCTCTATGTAAAATCCCTGTTGAGCTTGAGCCTCGGCCTGTTGAGGTGAGAAAGTAGAGCCCTGATTGGTTACGTCAATACGTTACTTCCAGTGAGGCTAAACTTCTAAGGAGGAGGGGGGTCATGAAGCTGGCTGCTCAATGCTGCTTGGCAAAGAAAGACTGACAGCGGCCAGACAGTGAAGAGGTTTTCCTCATGAGAACAGTCATCTTGTGCTAAACTCTTGCCTTGGTTTCTGGAGTTTATTATTTCAGAGCACTTCCCAACAGCTACTTTCACCCGTTATATTGATGTATTTTATGTGTTTTAACATTTGTAAATTCAATACATGACGTTTGGATTTAATCATCACCGTTGAGCCTCCCTTGTTTCAGAGAGCAGAAGCCGCCACTGCAATGAAGCTAATTACCATGAGGAACGGTGGCATGGCAACTGGAAATGATGAACAAAAATAACTTATAACAAATAGGAAACATAAAACTGAACCAAGAAGTAAAAAAAAAAAAAAAAAAAAAAAATCTAATTATAAAAATTAAAAATGAATAATGATCCCTGTTAAATAAACAAAATGAAGCAAGACTTAATAATACATAAAATTTAGAAAGTTCGAGTCAAAAGCTAAAAGAACCATAAATCATAGGAGTTTCTACATATATGAAGCTTTGTGAGAAGATGTGGAGGGTATGGATACCTAGCACTGTCATTTTTTCACACCAACCTATGTTTTACCCTTCATTGATATCTTTTTTTTTTTTTCTGTCTGTGCTACAGATCTGAGATGGGAGCTCAGAGGGTGCTCCAGGTTGATCTGAAAATGGAGAGCTTCCCAGAGCCGACAGGCAGCCGTTGGATGGCCTGGCAAGTGGAGTACCCGGCCATTCGTGCCACCACACAAGAGGTCGAGACAGAGATCCTCCTGGCACAGGAGGAACTGGCAGGCATTGTGCCTCTGGCCATGGTGAGTGATGTCTCATCCAGCTCAGTGGAGCACCAAAACACGCTCTTTTCTCCGCATGTAAAATGGAGCATTTAAGTATTCTCAAGCACCACTTTGTGACATCACCTTTCGTCCCGTTTTATTCTATTACTAAATTAAACCAGTATGACCATGATGTTCTTCCCATCAAGGCCTTTCAAACAGACACTTGTTAAATTAACTAAAAAATCTGTTCTCCAGAAACTCATGGAGCAAAACAACAAACAGGAATGCCATCAGTAATCTAAACAATGGTAAAACATCACAGCGGATTACATAAATTGAGTAGTGTTCATATAACTTCACTGGTAATAGATAGATAGATAGATAGATAGATAGATAGATAGATAGATAGATAGATAGATAGATAGATAGATAGATAGATAGATAGATAGATAGATAGATAGATAGATAGATAGATAGATAGATAGATAGATAGATAGATAGATAGATAGATAGATAGATAGATAGATAGATAGATAGATAGATAGATAGATAGATAGATACATACATACATACATACATACATACATACATACATACATACATACATACATACATACATACATACATACATACATACATACATACATAGTATAATTAATGTTCTAGTGTAGAATAAGAGCATAAACATCTTAAAGAAACAAACTGGCAGCAGCACATCTGATATTTCTTTTCAGGATGGTGTCGCATCCAAACATCAACTGTATGCCAGCTTTTAAAGCTGGTCAGATAAAAGTTTAATAATTCATAAAAATTTAAGACAATTTCTTTTACTTTGATCTCATCAGATTTAGTTTTAGTAAACCATCTACACAGTTAAGCAAGGCAATTTAAGGGTATTTGTAGCACATTTTAGTAACGAGATAATTCAAATTGCTGTACATGAATAGAAAATAAGAAAAGAAAAACACGGAGAAAAGTAGAAAACTCTGCATGAATTTTTAAATACACGGTGGAGCCATTTGGCTTCATAAATGTTTCATACTTTGTTTAAATTTGACAAAGCCTTCTACAGTAGCTGCATTTGCATTGTTGTAAAGCTATTTTCACACAGGTGCTGGCCTTTCACACCTACTGAACTTCTACTGTTTTCATAAGGAAGGTAGAGGTGGTAATAAACTGCAAGCCCTTGCCCAAGGCCTGCATTTAGGATCAAGGAAAGAAACAAGTGTATGTAGCTTACAACAGGCCTCAGATTGGATCTTGAGGTGGGCTTTGACCTAAGGGTAGGCCTAGAGCTGTATGCCTCTCTCATCATGGCCCAGGGAGTCTGCTGTGTAGATTCACCGTTGCCAGAGTTCATGCAGGTCATCCCTCATACATTTCAGTAGCTTCGTTGTGCAAACCAGAGAGTGCTGCCTCTGATACAGAGCAGCAGCGTTTGGCTGAACAGCAACAAACATCAGGTGTGTTGACCAAAAAAATAAAGACTCAGGGCTGATCCTGAAAACTGGAAAAAAAAAAAGACACCATTTATTTTTATTTTGGATCTCTGATCTGTATGATGGAGACCCGACAGTTGTGTTATTCCCATTCTCCTAGTATAGCCTATAGCTATGCAGATGATTGATGCCTGTGGGTGGCTGTTCCTGGATTTAGAGGAATACGAGGCATGCTCACCCACAGATCCATTCTCTGGATAATTGAAGCGGCATTTTTAAGGCTCCTGTATTATCTGACTTCCTTTTCTCGTTTCCTTTTCATGTCACTGATGTAAGAGCCTGCTTTGGGTGCTCTAGGAATATAGAGATGCTCCCACACTTTTCATATGACAAAACCCAAGAAGACAATTGCATGATTCTTTTGAAACGGCTTTGTTTGATAACAAAAAGCATCAGACATAAAAAAAAAAAAAGTAATTCTCAATTATTTCTACACAGACATTTTGGATGTATGTTTTGTTTTTATACTCATGTAAAGCTCATTGTGAAATTTTCATTAAGAATTAACACCGTCAATCAGTCAGTCGCTCTGAGTCTCATTGTTCTACTCATTTTACATCGTGAGCAAATGTCATTGCTCACCAAAAGGAATATTATTTTTCAATCATAGCAGCAATAATCCATCTCAATAAAACCGATTTTACGATTATTTCCTCAACTTGGATAAAGTGTGCTTTTCTGTGTGTGTGTTCGCAGGCTACATTTAGATTTATTTCCTTTCCTCAGTTTGATTTACTATCCAGTGCAACAAACCTGTAGGCCAGAAAAGCACTTAAAATAATCTCCCTGTCCTTTTTCTGTACATTTTTTCAAAGATTTAACACGCTTGACTTTTTTTCAACAGAAAATAAATTAATTGTCTAAGCTAAGTTTTTCTTAGTGACAGCTAGCTCTCATTAAAGTAGTGTCTTGTCATTATTTGAATATTAAAAATCTCAGCTTGATTATATAATTGTAATGTAGGGCCAAATTTAAATCATTCTTGAATTTAAGTCATGAAAATCAGTTCAAGAGCAAAACTTTGTCCACAGGGTGCTGTTTGGAAACCCCCGGTGTAGACAGTGCCAAGTCCTGTTTGACGATAACATTTTCATTATGCTTTCATAATTATTATAAAGGGTCTTGATTCTTGAAAATGAAAACATTTTACCTATAAAGAGTTGTCAGCACAGAGAAGCTGGAAGGTGTCCAACATTGATGCTGTTAACACTAAACAGGAAAAAAACAAGGTAGAGCATTGGAACCCTCACTCCACTCTTCCCTGGAGTCTTGGCTCTTCATCTCTAAATCTCTAAATGAAATTAATATTTACCTTCCTCTGAAAAGATGACTTCAGACCAATAAGCTAATATCAATTCCTTTATCTTTAGCTCAAGTAAGCCGCACATGACATTTTATCTTAGACCATATGCATACAGTACAATATCTTTATATATATATATATATATATATATATATATATATATATATATATATATATATATATATATATATATATATATAAACAATGTAGTTCTCACAGCTTTCATTTGTAAACTGATTTAGGAGTGTAAGGATCCAAAAACCTTCAAGTCAGCCTTATCATGTCCAAATAACTTAATGTCTATTGGAAGGCTCTGCCACATGTGCATTATGACTGCTTCAGTAGGGATGGATTTGCCAGAGCACGTTGTGCTATCTCATTTTCCAAATGTATTTTATGCATAAGTTGGGCTTTAGGTTCCCCTTATTTTGATATAAGCACGTGCCCACTGATGTGTTTGTATCTATTTTATGATAAAACTAGAAAAGAAGTTTATAAAACCTTACTAAAATAGCAGCTTTTCTATAAAAATCGAAGCAAATATTTACAGAAAAAAAAATCTTCTTTTTAGGTACCGGTAACGAAAATACATTTTTGCACACTTTACCTTGGCCTTAAACTTCTTTTTTATTCTCACTTTTTTACTTATTCGTCTCTTCCTCCTCATTCCTCTTCTCATGCTTTTTCATTTCATTCTCTTCCCTTTTTCTATGTTCCTCCTTATCCCATTATCTAACTCCTACGAGTTAGATATTGCTGACTTACATTATCCTGTTCCACAAAAGACATTGGCCTTGTCACTTACTACAAACAATAGCAGCAGTTAGTGATAAACCTAAAGCAATTTATAGTGTTAGAATACAAATACAATATAAAAGTTAAATTAAGGGTGCTACACAAACAGGCAAACACAGTTAAGGAATTACTCATTTTATTTGTATTTGTCTAAAGCTGGTATAAATTATGATAGTAAATGTCACTGAACAGGAAATCAGAATCCTCAGCCTTATATTTAAAGTGCAAGTGTAAACGAAACGGTCAACTGAACTTAATGTATGAGATTGTGTCTTACTATTATCAGTAGTTATATTATAAACATGAAAATGATGAATGCATAAAAGAAAAAAAAGAGGCATTGCATAAAATTTTTTGGCAAGGGCGTTGCCAAGTTGCCGTGATGTCACGGGCTTCGTTCGCCGTCTAGCTAAATCGATCTGTGGAATACATTGGTAATGCCAGCTAAACACAGTACTCGAGTCGAGGGGGGATGGCATCCCCCTTTATAAAAAAAATCTTAAAAATCATCTCCCTTCTTAAATGAATGTGTAAAATTTTATTACTGAATGTGTAAAATGTCTACTATATATTAACAGTAATGTCAATGATATTGCCCTTTCAACATTTGGCAGGCTGTGGGCTTAGGAGTAGCCTGAGCAAAATAAATAAAATCAAAGAAGTGGCCTACCATGACTATGAAGCTGATCCCAGTGGGAGATTTGTCCTCTGCATTCTCCCTAACTATGTAGAGGCAGTGATAGCCATGTCAGTCCAGGGACTAACGGCAGTTCTATTGCCTTGGTAAAGGTCAATGACTGGCGTACCTGACATGTAACAACCATACGATGCATATTGCTTTAGGTAAATATACTATATTAATTAGGCTATGAAAAAAAATTCCATGATTGAAGACAAAGCTGAAAGGCCAGTGAACCATCAAAATACCATTGCTTAAGCTTTGAGCCTATTCGGCGTGTGACTTGAGTGGTGCAAAAGACATACAGGTGCTGGTCATAAAATTAGAATATCATGAAAAAGTAGATTGATTTCAGTAATTCCATTTAAAAAGTGAAACTTGTATATTATATTCATACATTACATACAAACTCATATATTTCAGATGTTTATTTTGTTTAATTTTGATGATTACAAATGACAACAAATGAAAATCTCAAATTCATCATATCAGAAAATTAGAATATTGTGAAAAGGTTCAAAATTGATGGCCCCTGGTGCCACACTCTAATCAGCTAATTAACTCAAACCACCTGCAAAAGCCTTTAAATGGTCTTTCAGTCTAGTTCTATAGGCTACACAATCATGGGGAAGACTGCTGACTTGACAGTTGTCCAAAAGACGACCATCGACACCTTGCACAAGGAGGGCAAGACACAAAAGGTCATCGCTAAAGAGGCTGGCTTTTCACAGAGCTCAGTGTCCAAGCACATTAATAGAGA